CCCCAAAACCCCAAAACCCCAAAACCCCAAAACCCCTTAATTTATCTCATAAGTTGATATAAATTAATTTAGTTTAAATATAATGAAAACTAAGAAACAAAGGATCAAGCTTGCCGATCTTGAACAAGATGAAGGAGGGAATAACAGTGACTTCTCCTACATCCCCTCTAAAGCTTCTTCTGGTCAAAAGAAAATTGCTCCTAAAACTATTGGGAAGTCTTCAAACTCACTAAAGACTATAAAGAATAGTAACGAGACTTCGGAGGCTCCTCAATACGAGGATTCTCTTTTCGAAGTGGATAAAAGTCTCTTAGTGACATGTTGGAGTAGGTTCAGAAAATGAATCGGCAAAGTTACAGACCACAAATGGTTTAAAAGAGTGCATCTGGCTCTGGAATTCTGCTATATATTATTAGTACTAATATATTTGTACTTGATTATGGAAATAGAAGAAGATAACTCGATTGTTTTAATCACCCTGATGACAACTTTCTTATGGTTTTGATTGTGAATGTATATAATGAACCTAATTATTAATTGGAGAGATCTCGAATTAGCTCTAGATACACTCCTAATATTATTCACCATAAGTACAGATATCTTCGAAATTGTCAAAAGAGCTGAAGACTCAGGTTATTATACAGGAGGGAATCAAGCATTTTTGAATATTTCAAGAGTGCTAAGAGGAATAATGATTCAAAGAAGAGCTTCTAACTTCATGCAGGAAGTAAAATCAATAATAAATTCTAAAAGAATGATGAAGAAACTTAGAAGGAAGAACTCAGTCACCGAAATGATCAGTGAAATAATGTTTTATCTTGGTAAAGACAATTCAACTACACTCAATCGAAATTCTATTAAATTCGTAAAGAAGGGTTTACACCATGTAAAAGATCTAGTCATGGCTAAAAGAACTCAAAAGGTTAAAAAGGACAACGATGAAGATGATAATGACCAATTTGGATATAATCACCATGAAAGGATGGATGAAGCCGACGAACTTGATAGATGAGTATATGAGTTAGACCCAGATAAAGAAGAGTATCGCAAAGCATTCCAATACGAAAAAGGACTTAAGGATGACAAAGTCAGCAAGCTTTTAAAATAAGATCGAAGATTATGACTTTGACATTTTTGAATTACGGAGTGTGACAGGAGGGAATGAATTGGTGACAGTTATAAATTATTTGATGGACCTCAATGACTTCTACACAAAGCTTAGGATTGTTAAAAAGAAATTTAGACAATATTCTATTGTAATACAAGGGATGTATAATCCAATTGCGTACCATAACAAAACTCATGCTAGTGATGTATGTCAGACATGATATTATTTTATGACGACATGTAAATTCAGACACAGAGGCCAGCTTTCTGATCTAGAGGAATGAGTGCTTTTGATATCAGGTTTTGTGCATGATACAGACCATCCAGGATATAATAACCAATACATGGTTGCAACAAGAGATAGAATTGCTCTGAGATACAATGATAAAAGTTGACTGGAAAATCATCATATCTCTGTAGCATTTTCCACAATGCTTAAAAGATCAGAGACAAGAATATTTGAAAACTTCACAAATGAAGAGTTTAAAATAATGAGAGCAAATATGATTGATTTAGTATTGGCAACCGACAATTTCCGGCATTTTTCAGATCTCAAATTTTTGCAACAAAGGATTGCTAGTCCGGACTTTGAGCCAAGTGGGAAGGATAAGCAACATATCACAAATTATCTTATCCATCTTGCCGATATCAGTAATCCCACGAAGCCTTGGAAACTATGTTACAAATGGATTGACTTGCTTTTTGTAGAGTTCTTTCATCAAGGAGATAAAGAACGAGAAAAAGGGCTTCCTATATCATTTCTGATGGATCGTTTTGACACTAACATTGCTAAAGCTCAGGGTGGATTTATAGACAATTTTATCAGACCAGCTTTTGAGCTTCTCTCCAATATTTTACCTGAAACCAAGGAAAATTTAAAACAAATGGAAGAGAACAAGGCTCAATGGAAAGCTCTAGAAGACGGCTATGATCCTTCCAACAGATTCACTCAGAAAGAGCTTGAAGACGACAAGATAATCGAAGAAGATGAGGAGCTTTCAGAGTATTCCCAAGAAGAAGGTGAAAGTAGAAACTACTCCGAAGATGAAGAGGAGGAAGAAGAATTCAATGAAAACGACCGAATATACCGAAATCGGAAAGAAGAGGGGGATACAGACTCAATTGATGACGAGTAGATAAGCGTTTAAATTTTTACTTGTTCCAGCACAGTAACAAATTAAATAATCATTTTCAGCGCTAAATGTATTATATGGGGTTTTGGGGTTTTGGGGTTTTGGGGTTTTGGGGTTTTGGGG